ATTCGACCGAAAATAAGATGTATAATATTTTTCAGTAATTACGAAAGAGGGTAAAAATTATGTAGATTTCATATAGAATTGTTACTAGAATGAAACATAAACTCACGCACATTCACTTTTTGTATCTTAGTTGAGTATTGCAGAGAGCCGTAGAGATGTATAGAATGGCAAAGCGTCCCAGTATTCGCTAGAGGGATGTTCAGAGCAACCACAGTAAGAGAGCCAAGTGCAAAGGAACCACCCGAATTTGGGGGAAAATGACCTTTTTATAGCCTGCAAAAACTGGTTTAGCGATCTCTGGTGAGATTCTTGAAATATTTTTGCTGTATTTGATTGGTTAATGTGATAGAATCTTTTACGTGGGCGTTTTATGGAATGCGTAAGAGGGAGATTAAATCTTGTGTAAGGGTATTATTTTATTATTCATCTTATCCACGGAGGGAAACACTGATTTGGTGATATATTTTATTAAATATAAGTATTAATTATTACATGTATTAAAGTGTGATACTACATTTATATAAAGTATTTATCATTAAAGAATAAATTAATTCATGAATTTTTAAAAAGTTATAGCAACATAATGTTAAAAAACCCAACCCATTATAAGGGTGTTGCGGCTCAATTGTGACGTGGCATACTTGAATCAAGTATTATGATATCTGACAGAGATTAAAATCATTATAAAAAAAAACGTTTTGATGCAAATATTTAGATAGTGTTTAATTTTAAAAAATTGGTGGATGATTACAACATCAACTTCTTTTTCCTTTAATTATACTCAGCTTTGTAATTCTTTTAATTACATATTGTATAATTTTTAAAATTAATTGTTTTCAAATTAATATCCTGATTAAGATAAAGTATGTCGAATAAAAAAGGGATATAAATATTATTTCTTATAAAAAAATTGTGTTGAACCATACACATTTCAATAAGTCATTATAAAGATAAAAATGTAAAAAATAAAATCGAGAATTTTCACACAATAATAGCATTCGGTAGCTATTTTCACCATGAAGACAAAATAATGTCCGAAATTTTTTTTTCCATAATAAATTACATTACATTAGCTTTAATTTAAGATATATATAAAAGTGTCTGACTTTCCGGAACAATTTCAAACGTGAAGTTGAAAAAGTTCTACTTTCTAGATGCATTTTTAAGTTTTGAACCCCTCCTGTTTTAAGGGAAATGGTCCGATTTAAAAAAAAAAGTATGTCGACTGAAAGATATATATAAATAAGGTGATACCAGAAGAACAAACCCAACCTAACCTAAAAAATTACATAAAAGTATTATTACATGATATTTTATATCATAAATTATATCTTATAGAATATGATCTATTATAAAATGAGAAGTTTTAAAGTATTTAAAAAAGTATTAAATATTTGTTTAAAATGTGGACTTTGACTCATTGAAATAATTTAATTGGCAAAATTCAATCCACACTCTCCTAAAAATTATCTTTAGGATCGCCCATGTTGAAATCAAAATAATATGTGCAAACTACGTTAATATTTGCTAAAACAGCTTTGTTGTAAAGATATTGTGTATTGTAGGTATAATTAAAATAATAGATATTTATAAGGATGTAAAAAGCATTTTAATTTTTTTTTTGTTGTGCTGTTACCACTTTTTCTCAGCTATCACTCAACCGATTTCTTTTAACGATACGTGATAAGATCACAAATTGTATCTAGTCGAAGTAATTACCCTCAATGTAATTATATATATGTGAAACTCTAATTGCAGATTTGCAATTGGCACAAAAATGGATTTAGAAAAGTATATTTTGGTCTCTGATGAAAATTCCTTGTATCCAGTAAATTTATTTATATACAACAAACAATAATTTTTTTTTTAATGTAATTTTTTAGGTTAGGTTGGGTTTGTTCTTCTGGTATCATCTTATTTATATATATCATTCAGTCGACATACTTTTTTTTTTAAATCGGACCATTTCCCTTAAAACAGGAGTGGTTCAAAACTTAAAAATGCATCTAGAAAGTAGAACTTTTTCAATTTCACGTTTGAAATTGTTCCGAAAAGTCAGACACTTTTATATATATTTTAAATTAAAGCTAATGTAATGTACTTTATTATGGAAAAAAAAATTTCGCACATTATTTTGTCTTCACGGTGAAAATAGCTACCAAATGCTATTATTGTGTGAAAATTCTCGATTTTATTTTTTACATTTTTATCTTTATAATGACTTATTGAAATGTGTATGGTTCAACACAATTTTTTTATAAGAAATAATATCTATATCCCTTTTTTATTCGACATACTTAATCGAATACCGTGAAAAATACAACAAAAGTAAAGCACATATTGAAG